TTAAAATCAACAATAAAATGTTTATTTAATAGAATTTTTTTAAAAAATTAAAAATTAATAATTTTTTTTATATTTTAAATAATATCAACGCCAATATCACTACCACCAATGCCAATGCTAGCGCTAAATACCAAATGCTAATGTCAATGCTAGAACAAACGCTAATGCTAGCGTCAATCCAATATCAGAACTAATGCTAATGCTAGCGTTAATGCTAATGCTAATGCCAGCTTAAAAAAAAAGCCAATGCCAATCTCTAATGCAGCAGCGCTAATACCAAAGCTAAAAAAAAGCTGTTAGATATTATTACCAAAGCTAAAGCCTATGTCACTACCACTAATGCTAATGCCAATGCTACCTTAAAAAAAAGCCAATGCCACTAATGCCAATGTCACCTTAAAAAAAAGCTAATACTACTTTTACCATTAACGCCAATACCAATGTCAGAGTTTAAGCCAGAGTCAACATTAATGCTAACACCAAATACTAAAGCCAAAAAAAGCCAATATTAATTGCTACCATTAATGCCAACTTCAAAGCTAACTTTAAAGCCAAAAAAAGCCAATATTATTGCCAATGCCAAAGTAAAAAAAAAGCTATTGTTTGCAGTTATTTTAATTTTAACTTAATTTTTTTTTTACTATATTACTATTAATGTTTCGTAGCTTAATTTTTTATTTTACGTACTGCTAGATTAATTTATTTTTTAAAATAATATTTAATGTGTAAATTTATTTGATGAAAGGGTCAAAAAAATTTTTTTCTAATAAATTTTTTGATGGGAGGATCAAAAAATTTTTAAATACATTTTTTTTATGGGTTTCAAAAAAAATTTTATTTTTTAATTATTATCTAATAAATAAATATATACCGTATAGTCTCAAAAATAAGCATCCTTTTTACTATGAGAGTGCTTATTTTTGGGTAATTTAAAAATTATAAAATTTGGCTTTTTTAGAAGTCCAAAATAAATGCTGATTTGCGTAATGTTGCGATAATCTGTGATGATTAGCATAATCATAATTATTATGTAAACGCGAAAATATGTAATATTATTTGCGTAATATTTGGTCATACTTGCTTTTAATCACTATACAAAATGTTACAAAAATGCAAGCACGTTGTTAAAAAAAGTAAAACCAAAGCAAAAATTTCCAAATGAACCTGAACTTCATACTCTATTGAACAGAAAGAAGTTATTATTAATTATGTAAAGAAATTCGAAAAAAATAATATAGCAGCACATTTTAAGCTTAATGAAAATATGGTTGGATGCTGGGTTAGAGTAAGCAAAAAATGAACAGATAATGTAAGCAAAAATAGCAAACATGTTAGTTCTGGGTGAAATGCTTTTTTTTTCAAAGCTAAAAAAAAGCTCTATTATTGGATAATTGATTAAAGAATAGTAGGTTTAGCTGTAATCTATGCTATTATCTGAGTCAAGATGTTAAAAATTATGAAAGAGCAAGATATTGTAGCTCTTTATGGTGATTTGACAAACAATTTTAGAATATCAAATCATTGGTTATATGCATTTATGAAAAGATGGAATCTTTCTTTAAGAAGATACACAAAAATTGGACAAAAACTTCCAAAACAAACTGAGAAATTGTTAGAAAATTTCCATCGATTTGTTTTTTGCCTTAGGATTAAAAAATCCTATAAAATGTGTAATATCTTCAATATGGATGAGATGCCAGTATGGTTTAATATAGCTGGTAATTTCACTATTAATTAAACAGGTGAAAAAATGGTTCATATTCGTAGAACAGGCAATGACAAAAATTGTTTTACCGTTGTCTTCACTTATGCTACTGGTAAGAGTTATTATATCTATAAGTTTTTTAAAAAATCAATTTTTTTTTTAATTTTTTTACCATTTTTTTTATATAGATGAAAGTAAACTGCCACTAATATGTATATTTAAAGGAAAAAGGTTGAATCGTGATGAACAAATTCCTACTAATGTGGAAGTTTAGTTTTAAGATAATGGATGGATGGATACAAATCTAATGATAAAATATATCAATTATTTTAATAATAATCGATCTATAACACTAACAATGCTTGTTTATGATTCCTTTCGAGATCACTTAGAAAAATCTGTGAAAGAAAAATTTTATAATAGTAATATTGATTTAGCAGTTATCTCTGGTGGCTTAACAAGTATATGCCAACCGCTTAATGTTGCCATTAATAAACTATTTAAGGATAACCTCCGTAAAGAATGGCATTTATGGATGGTAGCTGGTGGTACTGGGGTGACTTCTGCAGGAAATCTTAGGCACACTAAATATAGTGATGTTTGTAATTAGGTAAAACGTTCTTGGGAAGGTATATTTGAGGAAATCATTATTAATTCTTTTGTAAATTGTTCTATAACAGATTCTTTAGATAATTTATATAATAATTATAAAGAATTAGAAAGTTCTGATATTGATGATGGTTTTTATGATAATATTCATAATAATGATTAATTAGGCAGATTTTTATAATAATTTTGTAATAGTTAATAATAATTTTCAGTTAATTTTGTATTAATTCAGCTTTATTTTCAAATAAATTTTATATTACAATAATGGAATAATAAATTTTTTTTTATTTTTACATTTTTTTCGAGGGATGCTTATTTTCAGGTAATATTAAAAAATGGAGGTACTTATTTTCGGGTGATACTTATTTTCAGGACTATATGGTATATACAACTAAAATGTTATGTAATTTTAATCGTTCTTCTAAAAGGGTAATAAGTAGTATGCTATTAGCTTCTTCTAAAAACTTAACCTTTTGAAACCATTGCATTTTTTAAACCTATACATCTAGTCATTAGTAAATTTTAATTGCTCTTCACTAATATTCAACATCTATACTAGTTCAAGTCTTTTCTTTTAGTTGTAATATTGTGTCAATTAAAAAAAGTCCAGTAGCAATTGCTTGTGATATCCAGATCTGTAAAGCTTTATCAAATTCTGAAAACTGAACAGAACAACAATGAAATATGTAGAAAGTTTTTGAATTTGAAAGAACTGTTAGCTATTTTTCATAACTTTGCCATATCTTTGTAATAGTTGTTTTATCAATATCTAATTCATATATTGTATTGAAGAACAAAGCAATGTCAGCATGTTTTATATTGGTATTTGCTAATATATACTCACATATTTTCTTTTTTATATTAACATTAATAGCAGTTTGTTCTTTTTTTATTTTTTGTAAATGTGTAGGTGATATTATAATTAATATTACTATAAGACGAGTTTTGTAAAAAAAAGAAAAGTATAAGATTCATTTAAAAAAATCTTTTGTAAAAAGAAAGATTTAAAGCGTGATATTTTTCTAAAAAAGAAAAAATTCAAAGTAAGAGATTTCTCTAAAAAGAAAAGATTTAAAATGTGAATTTTTATAAAAAAATGAAAAATTTAAGTGCAGATTTTGTAAAAAAAAAAAAAAGGTTTAGAGTGCTGATTTTGCAAAAAAAAAAAAAAGTTTAAGAAGATTTTTAAGCATCTTCTTTAATGTGACTGGCTAGTGATTGAGGTGATGCTTAATTATTATGATCAATTTAAATACAATTAACTGTTATATCTTCAAAAAATTATAACAAAAAAAAGAAACAAATTATTCAATAAATTAAAGAAATATTTCTAGCAATTCTTTGCAGATTTCAAATTTTTCATATGTAATTTTAATAATAGCATGAAAAGTGGTAAGTGTAACATAAAAGTACTGCTGAAAAGAACTATAACCTCTTTCACCTAGTAAAAATGGAAAAACATTTATCCAAAACCCTTCAATTTTAGGTCTTAACTGATATTAAGCTCTTATGTTATTTGTATTTGGTAAAGAGAAGAAAAATGGAATAAGTAAAAGTCAGAAGATGATAAGTATTAGTTATTCTTGTTTAAATTTTCCAATATTTTTATTTTTTATAATAGCTTTTAGAATTAAAAGTAATATGATAAGGTATTAGCATTATTGAATAATGATTTTGAAAGATTCATAGCGTAAAAAGAATGCTTAAATGATCTTTTTTTATATTCTATCAATAATAAATTTTAACTAATCAGAGTAACTCCATGAAAAAAAAATAGTCTATGCCTTCATATTTTATTGATTGAAATGGATCTGCAGATTAATTAAATTTCATTTCTGATCTATTGATTTAGATGTTTAAGAACTTCTAAGTATTGTATAATTGATTGATATGATGTATATTTTACTAACTAATATGATTATATATAGAGGAAATTTTACTTATACTAACTAATAATATCATTATATCAGCTAATTATCGAAATTAGACCAAATTTTAAGTTCCCAAATCATAATAATTTTGATCAATGTTATACCATTCCAATTAGTAAAAAAAAAATTTAATAATCAATTTAGCAAATCTGCCCTAAAAAAAAAATAACATATAAAAACACGCATCAAACTGATAAGTACAACTAAAAACTGATGAGTTTGAGTAGTAGAAAACTAGTAGAAGGCAATTGCCATCTTGCGATTTCAAATTCATAACATATTAATTGTAACTAACTTTATGTATATTGCTTTTTTATGTTTTTATTAAAAAAAAATAGTATTATTAAAGTATTTTTGTGTCTTTTCAGATTACTATAACAAATACGATTTTTATTAAAATGTTAAATACTAATATAGGTTCTACTCTACTCATAATACCTTTTACTACATTTACATCAGATTTTTTTGTTCTACTTGTCAAAAAAGATTCAAAAAATAAAGTGGACTTTTACAGCATTTAACCATTGTGAAAAATTATAATATTTCGCATAATAATTTAGAAAGTTTATCAGAAATAAATAACAAAAAATTTAAAAGTATCCTGGTCTATTTAATTTATCGCAAACTTCCAAATAGATTTAAGAAAGAGGGTCGTCAATTAGTATCTCTTGCCCATACTGAACATCAGTTTTTTGATATTTTTAAAGGATATATTTATCATCGTAATAATAGAAATGTTTACAAATATGTCTTTCGAGAAGCTGCTGGATATCAAGCATTAAGTGAAATCTTAAATAATCTATTATAGGGTCGAAGATTTTATAATGAAGAGCAACAAACTTATGTTGTCCTATTTGATGATCTGCCTCAACATTTAAAAAATAATCCATTGGCTATTACTACCTATCATGCTGTTGAAAGTATAATCACTAAAAGACGCAAATCTAAATATAATCCTGGAGAAGTTAATATTGATTGGAAAATTAAAGTTGAAAAAGATGCAAAAGATAAATTATTGTGAAGCGGGTTTTATATATATGCATTTTTGGGTAAAACAAATTTAAATTTCTTTTTTTGTAATAGTTTTTTAAATTATAGATGTCAATAATTATAATAAAATTAAATTTGCTGTGATGTTTTTCATTTAATTATTAAAAAAATAATTTTTATTAGAAAATTAAAAGAAATTTAAAGTTACAAGATGTGAATATGTTGAGATTTTGAATACAAAAGGGAAACATTATTTTGATTATAAAAAAAGTTAGTTTTCATATTCTAAAATTTCACGAATAACTGATGTTTTATTTTGAAATTTTCCACTATTTTTAAGAGTTTTTTTTAAAAAATAACAAACGTGATCATGATTTTTTTTCTCAACAGCATTGCATGAAAAAGCATTCAATCCTTACCTTTGATGTTTAAGTATAAATTCCCAAACATGTGATACCAAAACATGAATATAAGGAGTCAAATCTGAAGAACAATAAAGTTCTTGTACTAAATAATATTAGTTTCAGAATCTATTATAGTTTTCTTTAAAAATAACTCATACTATTCCTTTGCTTTTAAACAAAAATATTGTGGATCTGTTGTTTTTTCTCCCAAAAGATCATATAATTCAGCAAATCTATCCCATAGACTTTTGATTAATATAGCACACTCCAAATCAAAAAGTTTAGTTAAGTTAAAGTTTTGAAAAATACAAAGTTTATCATCTCCCATTAAGAAAGTATAGCTCCAATTATTAGTATCTCGTATTTTCTAAAATTCAAAATGGATCTTTAAATTTTCTATTTCTTTGATTATAATTTTTTGAGTTATATCATTAAATAATCCTTCATTTTTAATTTCTTGTAAAACTAACTCTCATAAACAATCAGTAATATATAACATTATGTGAAGTTTATCTGATATATAATTTTCAAGTGGAATTATATTAAAAAGTGGAGGTAATTGATAACCTGGATATGTTATTGGATTTTCATTTAAAATACTCATTGATTTACTTATTACCCATTCAATTTGCCTATCTTCATGTTGATTTTTAACTATCTTGCATCATGAACAAAAATAATTGGAATTGGCAGCATTAAACCCTAAACAGATAGTAAGAAACTTCTAATCTAAGCTAAAGAAAAGCTCAAAATTCCAAAGAATATTATTAATAACCATTTTTATATTACTCAATTCTTGTAATTCTTGAATAAAAGTACTTGCTGCAACTTTTAAAGTTGAATAATTTTCAGTTCCTGGAAATAAGACAGTTATATAATGATAATTGGATTTAAAAAGTTCTGTTAGATCATCTAATAACGCTACAATAATCATTACATATTTTATTTTTCGTCTTACATTTCTACCATCACCGGAAATTCAAAGATGAATAGTAGGTATTATAGGGTTTATTTTCCTTTTTGAACATATGGGATCTTTGTAATAGAAAGGGATGAAACTCCAAAAAAATTAAAATTTTAGTTTATAAGCCAAAAATGTTCTAAATACTATAATTTGTTCAGATTTATTATTAACTCATTTTTTATTTTTTTTTGAGTTTCCTCCCTTTCTATTGCAAAGGCCTCATATGTTGGCATTATATATTTAAGAATTTTTTTAATACTTCAATAAGCACCTTTTCTAATTGCATTAAAAACTTGTTCAATAATCAATGGATCAATAATATCAGATTCTTCCAAAGGTTCTTGTATGATAGCAGAATTTAAATCAAAAAAATCAATAGGTATAATTTTTCCATATATGCATTAATTTCTTGACGGATTTGAGAAACAGCATATTCTCATGGCAATTTTGATTCTACAGCTGCAAGATGATAATATGCATCACGTGGTATATTCTCTACATCTTGCACATAAGCCATTGATCTCAATTTTTGTTTTTTTTAACATAATCATCTTCTTCAAACGATATATGATATTCTTTATTTTCTACAGTAAAATCCAAAGCCTTCAAAACAATATGATCTTTGGGATTGTAAAAATCTTTAATTAAATTTTAAAATATGTTTGTTCTTTTTTTGTAAGACCTTTAGCATATTTGATTTGTGTAGTTTTACTTAATTCTTCATGAAATTTTAATTCCTATGATTTACCTTTACGATTTCTATTAATATATTTTAATTAAAGTCTAAAAAGATGAACTTCAGAAACAGCAGTTCTTTTATCTAGTGTTATTATCTGATAAAATAACGTATATATTAAAATGTCTTCTTTTGCAATTTTTTTTTGAATAATAAAAATATAATAACTTACTTTATGTAATTCAATAAAAGCATTAAATGGAGATTGAGTTGAGACAACTTGGTATTGTAAATTATCTTCAAAACAAATTAAATAATATGGATTTCCTTCTATGTAATATATAGAGCATTGAATAGTATGACAGTTACTAGCCTAATCCCAAGTAGTTTTTATAATATAATTATCAGGTATAGGAAAATAATTAGGTGCTTCAGTATAATTCAATTGCACAACTGGTAGGTAGTCACCTTCTTGAATAATAATATAATCAAATTTTCGATCACTATAGTATATTATTTTAGGTGAGAAAGGGTAGTTTTTCGCCTTATAAGGTCTTTGCTTAGAATTTGACATTGAAAATAATAAAGTTATACTAACATGTTTTTTACATGTTAAATTAAAAAAATCAGTGTATAAAAAATTGTACAACAGATCAAATTTTTTTATCCCTTAATTTATACAAAAAAATTGAATGCATTTCGTTAAAATACAGGCATGATATATAAATTAAATTAATTATTACAACTGAAATCATTGATAATTTATCATAAAAAAAATAAATACTAACTAATTATCTGTTAGCATAAATGTAAAGGTTCCATTTCTGCACATCAACAAATATTTATACAGTTTACTTAAAACATTTTTTAGAAGAATTGATTAAATGAAAAAATTAAAAAAATTTGATTGTTATTGTATAGTGTTATACATATCAAATAATTGACTATCATCTTGATTGGTCAACAAAATTTGGGTTATCTCTCAAAAATTAGGGTTAGGGTATAGATCAGCGCATATGTTCTAATAATTTGTGTGATAGTGACTATACTTGATATTGTGATTAAAAAGAAGGTAATTTATTATTTAAAAAATTAAAACCAAATGCCATGTGATTAAAGAGAAGGAAGTGACTATATGTAAGGTGACTATAGAGGAGGTTGACTGTACAATCTTTTATTTAGTATAATATGAGTTTATAGTATAATTAATTTATTATTTAACTTTGAATGTTAACATCTTCTGCTATTAGATATTCTTAAATATAAAAAGTATATTTTTTAAAATTTCTATATATAGTTCTTTAGCTGCTTTTAATACTAATTCTGTTTTATTTTTACCTGTCTAAAATTATAATTATATATATATAAATCAAATTAATTTTAAATCAGATTAACTTGTTACTTAACTTAATCTGATCTGCAAATCTAAGTAAAATTAGGTCAGATTAAGTAATATTTTAACTATTTTAACAATATAATAATAAAGAATATATATCATATATGCTATTATACTTATTATTAAACTATTTATATCTAAAAACTGAATATCTATATGTAATTGTTTTACATTTTGAAATTGTCTTTTTTTGATAAATAGATAATTGCACATTTTTCCTTACATTTAGCTTTATTTACAAATGCTAAAATAGATTTCTTTAATTTTAAATTAAAATGACCTCCTATACTTTTAGATAGCTGATAAAAATAAAAACTTATCTCAATTTTTCCTATATTTTTAGAAGTTTTTTAGAAAAAATTGCCTCTTTTATTTATCAAAATTATTTACATTATTCAAAATAAATAAAATTGATATCATATTATCAAGTTTTTTAAACTAATTAAAATATATTAAAGGAATATAAGCTAAGATTATATAAAAAATATATTTATGTTATTTTAATATATAATAGATATAATAATTTTTGATTAATCAAAAATTTACTTGAAATATTTTGCTTTTGCTTTTATATTTTATTCTGAATAAATGTATTAAAAATACTCATTTTAGATATATTAAGATCTTATAATGATAATTTTTTAATAGAAATTGTCTAGTAAAATTAATGGTACAAATGTTACTAATGATCTCTTCATTAATATTTAAATTAATTACTTTTTTTGCTAGTCAAATTTGATCTAAATTTAATTTTTTCTTAATTGATTCAAAATTTTAAAAAATAAATAATAGTTTATAATGATAATTAATACAATAAAAATTTTATGTAAAATATAGAACACATATTTTTTTGTAATAATCAAATTTATTAATACATTTTTTACAAATATTTACATTATGTTAATTCTCTAATATTTTTAAATCTAATGAAATATTATTACAAAATCAATCAGCAAATACATTATCTAACTTTATCTTTTGTTTTCTAGTCATAACTATATCAAATGACTTTTAATAGAAATTAATTTTATATTTACTACTCTTTAGTTATTATTTTAGTTCCTTAAAAAGATAAATACAATTTTTGCATATACTTTTATACATATTAAACAGTTAAACATAAAAGACAAATATTTAAATAATATTATAAAGAGTTTATTTATATCATTTTATAAATAATATATAATAATGTTAGAAAAAATATTTTAAAATAAATGATAATGATAAGTATTAAAATTAGTGTTACATGTCATAAATTAAAAATTGTATTGTTTAATATTATATGTCACAATTAAGAAATTGTATTGTTTATTTTTTACATTATTATATTAACATATAAGAAATTAATTAAAATCTGAATTATAGATTATAGCCAGAATTACTGTTGATTATTTGTAATCTTATACATATAATTGCATATTAAAAAAATTTATCCTTGAAATAAAAATAAACTGGATGATTCAGGAATTATAAGAATAGCTGTAATAAAAAAATATGATTATTTACTTAGAGACTTTATATATCTATTATCTACCTTTCTAATTAAACCTTTTAATAATCTATAAATAATTTAAAAATATAATTTAATATT